TCCACACACATAACTTTTCTCCTAACTATTGTACCTCTCCTGGAGCACACCTCTCCCGGAGCTTTTTCTCTCGCTTACCTTATTTAATCAATAAAGATTTCCGGCCACCGTTGCCGTTTTTCATAGTGGAGTAGGTCACTTGGACTGAATCACTATATATCTGTGTGTTGACTCAATATTTACATTACTGCCATTGCTTACTTTATTTATTATTCATTAATCATACCTTATCACACATTCAACTGTTGATATTGCATGAGACTATTTTGTATATCATCAGTTTGACGCCGTCTGTGAGAAACGACTAAGTTTTCTACTACCTTGTTACTTTCTATGGCGATCACGACCAGGTCAATCAGTCAACAACCAGGAGACAACAACTCGACCCCCCGGAGGAAGTTCCCCCTCCCCTCGTACCCTCGGAAGCATACACTGCGGCGACTCCTGTGGTCGGGGCAACAATTTTTACAAACCATGCATCTGCTGGTAAACTAGAACCAGTAAATTATTCAGTTGATGCTCGCCTCGGGAGGTGTTGCCCCTCAGCTTGTAGGAGGAGCACCACTCCCTTTGATAGGAGAAGCACTGCTACTCTAGGCGCCAAGCCGCCCCTTACTGTGGAGCCTTGTGCCAAAACGCCCCCAGGCAACGGCCGAGAGTCCCTCTTCAGCGCGCGGGAAGCTTGGGTGTTCCCCCTCCTCATGTACCTACGCAAGAAGATGAGGGAGAAAGCTAGTATGCTGATCATGAAAGCCACTACAATGATCCAATGGAGAATGCCCCTAACCAGTGGGACGAGAAGATTAGAGGTCCAAAACCAACTTGACGATGCCCTCAACGCCATCAAAGCACAAGCGCCAGAGACTGTAGACCAAGGTTACCTGGATCGTGGGTCGGTTGGATACGTGGTACGGGTACAGGTGCGGGGTATATTATTTTTTGCGGTGCGTGGTGGGGGTAGGCTTAGCTGGTACGCTATTTTGGGTCACGGTTTGCTTTGAACTATTATTCGGATTGTTTTCATTATTACAAAGAATTATATAAATATAAACATTATAAAATGCAAATCAAGACCAACAACAACACATCAACTAATAATCATGTATAATATTATCAAAAAAAGACAGCATATAAATTTAAAAACTTAAAATTTAAAAAATAACATACTAGAGAGCGATTAAATAGGTTCCTACTTAAAGCTCAAATCAAAATAACAGTCTTAAATATCTAACAAGTTTCTAATAAAAATTACTTAATAATAAAAAAAAATTGGAGCACATGAGTTAATTGTCAACTCTTTTTTTTTTTATCTTTCGTAGTGTTCTCTCTTCTTGCAAAGTTACTAATTTGAGTCTGATGCAGTCCGGAATGATGGAGTGGTGGCCTGCTAGAACTAGTAGGTAGTTTGTCAATAGAGACGGGCATAGAAGCATGCAAGGATGAAGTTTCCTGATCTTCGCCTCCAACAATGGTTGAATTATCTGTATTGTCATTCTCCAAGGATTTCTATCGCAAATCTTCTAATGTCACTAGAATCATGACCTTCAAGTCAACCATGTCTCGATCCATTATTTTGAATGCATCTTCAATTGATCCCGTCGTTGGTGAAGGTTGCCGCTTTGTCAATGTAAAATTTTTTAGGGATGAAGAAACTCCTATTTTTTGTCTTTTATACCATTTCTCGCAATTTTGCATATTCAGTCAAATTTTTCATTAACGTTTGACACTGTTTAATTTCTGCTTTTTTTTTGGATGGGGCACCAAAAAAATGATAATGCATTCGAGTATACGAACTTGTAAATTTACCACCGCAATGCTTATATGACCAACTCTTTGATCCTCCTGAATTTTTTCCTTGAGTTGCACCAATAAGATTGACTTCATTGAGTATTGGTTTCAATTTTGCTTAAACTTGTAATTGATCTTTCTGTGTACGATTTTTTTGTGGTTATCTAGTGTTATCTTCTTCCGTTATTTCAATATGTTTAACTTCTTGTTCATCAGCAGAATCATCCAAATTTTGAATTTTAATTTTGAATTGTTCTTTAATTTGAGAAGAATCTTGTTCTTCCCTCCTTTTTTTTCCAAAAACTATTTTTAAGTAATAAGAATTGAAGTATTCAACACACTAGAGATATCGAAGGAATAATTGAGGAGGAAGAGGGAGACAGTAGCCGTCAGTACAGACTATAGAGGTTGCAGTTGGGATTAAAATATAATTGACATTAAAAAATATTATATATAGGGCTATAGTTAACGTGTATGTGTATGTTTTCTAACCTAATTTTGACTTTTTTATCCAAATTATATTCTCTATTTTTATAAAATAAGTGGGTTTTTATGGTAATTTCACACCACCTAGGTATTAACTAAGAGTTAGGTAACTATTTCCCAAGTCTCCCATTCCCAGACAAGAGTCAGTGGCAATTAGGAGAGAGAGAACGAAGTTCTCGTCTCCTCAGTAGTCGTCGACGACGAAATCGAAGCAGAGAGAGAGAAACCGAGAGGGCGATGAACCAAAGAAGTCAGTTCATTGCGAAGAAGAAGCCAAATCGACGCAGAGAAATAGAAGAAGTCGAAGCAGTGTCAGACTTGATTCGGCTAATAGGAGGACCCAAAATAGGTTACTGTTCATGAGCATTGTTCGTTGCCGAGAAAGAGTCGGAAAAAAACATTGATCTTTTTCTTTCCTAGCTCGAAAACATTATCGATTCAACCCTGCAACCCCAAACCAGAGAAGCAGAGAAATCGAACCGAAGAAGTCGAAGTAGAGATCCATTGAGTAACTTACCTACTCTTTACTTTAGCCTATTAGAACTTAATCTGTGTAATTTACAATAATTTGGTTTGATATGGGGTTAGGGTTTATATTGGGATCTGGGTTTTTTGTTTATTGATTGGACAAATAGTTGGGGTCGGAGATAGTAGTGATCTAGGTCACGAACGACCCACGTTTGGGGTCGTACGACCCAAATTGTGGTTCGTAGGTCTTCTAATGTTTTCTGGTGACCCTGCTGTAGACTACCTAGTAAGGTGTACTGACACTCCGTTTGTGGCAGATGTTGTCAACTATTCTTTACCTTCAAAGTTCAAGATGCTCGCCAGTGCAATTTTTGGTGGCACCAAAGATCCTTTTGACCATCTTGACACATACAAATCTCTCATGTAACTTCACAACGTGCCTAATGGGATTATGTGTAGAGCCTTCGCTATCACCCTCAAGGGATCCGCACGCCAGTGGTTTGCCAAGCTCAAGCCTTTTTCCATCCACTCTTTTGCGGAGTTAAACAAGTCTTTCGTCTCCCACTTCATTGGAGGACGCCGACACTAGAAGCCGGTTACCCACCTGCTCACCATCAAGCATAACCGACATGAAAGCCTTAGGAGTTACCTCACTCGTTTTAACGAGGAGGCTCTCCAAATCGAGGAGCCAAACGACAAGGTGACCATGACTGCCTTTATCGCAGGTTAGCGCTCCTCCAGTTTTATATTCGCTGTCCTAAAAAAAAACCACTATCCAGCATACCCAAATTGTTGTCAAGGGCACAAAAGTACATGAATGTTGAGGATGTCACTAAGGCCAGACGAGGTGAGTCCTTTCATGGGGGCGAGAAGAGGAAGGACACCCGTGAAGAAAAACGGGAAGTAAAGAACAAAAAGAATAGAATAGTGAAAATCTATGTCAAGGACCGCCTTGGTCCCCTGCCTCTGAGAGAGCGACAAACCTTCATGCCATTCAATGCTTCTGTGGAGCATATCATATTCCAAGTACAAGATGATCCTATAGTACACTGGCCAGAGAAGATGAAGACCGCCTTGAACTGTAGGAGCCCAAACAACTCCTGCCATTTCCACCGCGACCAAGATTATGATAATGATGACTGCTTTGATCTTAAAAGGCAGATCAAGGAGCTCATACAGCATGGCCAGTTGAGGCAGTACGTTGTTGGCAGAGGACAAGCCCCGCCACCTGGCCGGGACCAGGAGGATAGAAAACGCCAGTAACCCCTCGGAGAAATTCAGACAATCTCCTGAGGGCTAGGAGGAGGAGGCGACTCCAACTCTGCCAAGAAAGTCTTGGCCCACCTATAGGACACCGAACACTTGAAGAGCTATTATCAATAGCGGGTACAAGCCAGTGGCTCTCATTTTATCTGTCATTTATTGTTTTAGTCGATTTATTCTGTTATTTATTATTTTATGAAATAAAACTCTGCGAAGATTATTGTGTACAGAAATGTCTTACTTTCAATTCATAAAGTTTGTAAACAACTTATAAAAGTTAGAATATGACCTAACAACAAGGTAGACAAAAAGATAAGACGATCAGTTACGGTTCCACTGGCCACTATCGTCAAGACTCTCCCTGTCACCATCTACTCCTAGGGTGTGTTTGGATAATAGGATTGGATAGGATAGAATTTCATTTTTTATATCCTAACCCATCCAAGCCAAACCCTCTCATTCACTTTAAAACCCTAAAACCTTTGAATATATCCAATCCTAACATTTGTTTGGGAAACAAAGGTGTAATTCAATAGGTCCCATTAGTTACACAAATAATTTTGTAGTAGTTTACCATTCTACTCATGACTCTATTCATTCCAATCCAAACCAATCATATCCTATGTTTGGATTGGTGGATTATCCTAACAAAATTATATATTTTTCGCATATACATAAAAATATATAAAAATGAAATAAATTTTTTTTTTAGGAAAGTTAATAATTTTTTTTTTCAAATAAATTAACACTTTATTTCATTTCTTAAAAATTGATTACAATGGGCGAAAGAATGAAATCACATGAATCAGAAGAAATTAAAAAAACCAAACACGATGGAGAGAAAAGCACTCTGAAGGAATGCTCTTTCAGTTTACATGGCCAAGACTCGTTTCAAGTGAATTTTTTTTTTTTAATGGAAATTTGTTAAAAAATAGAAAAATTTACAAGAAGCAAAAAGGACTGAATCCTTCACAACAAACTACTGCCTTAAGCACCATAACACCAAAATTTGTAGTAGCTTCCACTGGCAGAAGACCCACCATAACAGCAGCACCATCACAGCATTCCTCAAAACGCTTCAACAGACCCACCATTACAGCAGCACCAACACAGCAGTCCTCAAACAGCTTCAACAGACCCACCAACACAGCAGTGTGTGTGTGTGTCAATTATGAATTTAGAGTACCTATAACAGGTCCATTGTAAAACTCTGCTAAATTTCGTTACATATTTTTTTTTTTAAAGAATAGAAACATTTTATTGAAAGAAAAAACAATTGCAAGAATCAAAGAATAAACTATTTTGAAAAAATACAAGCAATGGCTTTAATCCTTCAAGATGATTAAAACCATTTTTAACTACATTTTTGCACCTCCTGATCTTTATAACCCAGCTCCTGGATCTTTAATCAACCCCCAGACAGCTCCTGATACAAAGATAATTTGCCATATAATAGCAGAACACCACTGATACTGAAAAACCTCTCTGTCCAGCTGCTGAGCATGCACTCCTCCTCCTTGCAGATGTGAATTGATCCAACTGCTCAGACAGAACAGAACAGCAAATGAAGTATCACCTATTCAGATGGCTAGATGTGATTCATGGTGAATGAAGTATTACCCATTCATTCACCGTTTAGTCTAGGAAACAAATGTAACAAATTACCTACATTGTTGCCATCTAGCCATACTCCAGCATCCTTGAATTTGGAAATTTGATGGTCCAACACCTAGAACATGCCTGCACCTGACATGCGTACCTAATTGCAAGTTAGATAGCCAATAAATGACATACCCAACACCTAAAAAAAAATTTGCAGCAAATAAATGACATTCAAACACATTGAACTATACTAAAAAAACAAATAAATAAATAGACATATACATATGCGATTATGTAAAGAGAAAGAAAGGGGAATATCCTAACCAGGGTCACATTGCTGATAAAATTGTTCAACCTCTGCAGCAACAACAACAACAAACAAACAAACAAACAGGAAAAGAAACAACATAAACATTGTCAGATTCAGAAAACATCTAAGGAATCAAGAAAGGAAAAAAAAAAAAAAAAACAAAACCTGTGGTGAGAGCCTTGATCAAACCAGCTAGTCGGCCCTTAAAATCCCTAAAAACTTCGGCCCTTAAAATCCCTAAAAACTTCTTCGACAGTTCTTGGATTGTACTCTCCTCCTTCGTCCATCATAGAGCAGCTTCACAAACACACAAAGTCAGAAACAACAAACAGAAAGCTAGTAATGGCATAGGCATAATCAGTTGCAAATAGAGGACTAAATTGATTAATTTTTTAGGAAAGTTAATAATTTTTTTTTCAAACAAATCAACAATTCATTTCTAATCTTAAAAATTGATTACAATGGGAGAAAGACAATCTGTTCGTCAAACTCAGATCCAGATTTGTTCGTCAAACAAAAGGTGAACGAAAGTAGATCTAGTCTTTGGTGTGTGTTCTGCATTCTGTCTAGAGAGATAGATAGAGAAAGAGAGAGACATAATAGAGATAGAGAGAACGATGAGCAACTTACCTCAAGAAGAAGCTGTGTTCTTTGTTTTGTCCAGCGATGTCGTCTTCTTCGTTGATTCTTTGCGAACCCTTGGACGAGCTCTCACCCTCAGATGTAGAAAATTAGAGGACATCCCCAACGCCATGATCGTCTTCGCCTCTGTGCGAACCCTTGGACGAGGTAAGATGACAGGAGAAAGAGAGAAGAAGATGACACAGATGCAGATGCAGATATAGAGGGATGGGTGGAGAAAGAGAGAGGGGCAAATACGTCTTTGGGGGGGAGTAACCCATTGCCTGGGTTTGTAACCCAAGGGGGGCCTAGGTTATCTGAGATCGGCCTATCGGGGTTAAACTTCAATTGTAGCAATTGGGTTAAGCATGTACTTGGGATTTGTAGCCAATCTCAAAAATACTTCCCAAACAAAGGTTATATGGGTCCCATTCCTTTTTTATCCCATCCAACTAGTAGATAATCCCTTTTATCCCACTACCCAAACACCTCCCTAGTGTCTCATATTGGACGAAGTTAGAGAAATCAATACCAGGAAAATCTGCCAAGCTCTTTATAACTATTAATGAAAGCACCTGCAATGGCTCTCTTAGCAACCTCCCTCCTTATCTCCATCTCAATGCAATGAGCCTCTGCCACGACAGCCCTCTCCTAAATTATACGTAGCTCGGCCTCCAACTTTGCGGCCCTTTCACAGGACATCTGCAGCTCTGACTCTGTTCTCGCGCGGGTAGTCTATTTATAAGCCTATGTTGCGACATCCCTTTTCCGAGCTATACGAAGCTTGACCTTCAACTTTGCGGCTCCCATCATGGGACGTCTGCAGTTCTGACTCTGTTCTCGCGCAGGTAGTCTATTTATATGTCTCTGCCACGGCAGCCCCCTCCCGAGCTATACGTAGTTCGGCCTCCAACTTTGCGGCCCTCTCACGGGACATCTACAGCTCTGACTTTGCTCTGGCGCAAATAGTCTTCTTATAAGCCTCTGTCACAATTGCTCTCTCCTGAGCTATACGTAGCTCGGCCTCTAGCTTTGCGGCCATCTCACGGGACGTCCACAACTCTGACTCTACTCTCGTGCAGATTGTCTCCTTATAAGCCTCAGCTCTTGTGGCCCTCTTACGGGATGTTCACAGTCCGGACTCTACTCTCATGTAGACAGTCTCTTTATCAGCATCCAGCTTCTCGGCCCTCTCGTGGGATGTCAAAAAGCTCGGTCTCGAGGCGCAACTCTTTCATGAGCAAGCCTCCACTGCTCCTCAGCAGTCTCTCGAAGCCCGTCTCTCTTTCGCCAGATCCCTGGATGCCTCTCCAAGTTTGATCGTTGTTGAAAAGGGGCAGGGAAAAGCGACAGTCACCTACAAGAATCCAAAAAGCAGAACATGAAGAAAATGAGGTTGGAATAAAATCAAAGTTGAGAAGAAAGACATGGAAAACCCTTCCATCGCTGTATTGATAACAAGATCTAACCTCTTTGATATCCCTGGGAGTCACAAACCTCCAAAGTCGCTCTTTGGCTGAAGTCACATCGAAGTATGGATACCGAGCCACTACTAGAAGCAGGACAGCTATGTGGAGCTATAGTCCCCATAGAAGACTACACTTAAGTCTCAACTTCTACAGCGGTACAAGGGCTAGCTCTGGTATACACAGAAGTCCAGTCTGAGACGGAGTGAGGGCACCACTGGATCCCGCTCCCAAAAAACAACTTGACCATCGGACCTCGACAATAAATTAGTGGGGGCATCAAACCTCACCCTCTTGAGAAGAGGGAAAGATGATGCCCTAGAAACCTAGAGAACCTCCATCTCCATCATCGTTCTATCAACAGGAGCGCCTATAATTAGAGGCAAGGTCAAGAACCAACGTAGTTGAAAGCCATCATAGTCTTCCTCTTTGGCAAAAACCCAGAATGCCAACTCGTCGCCCATGAATGCCTGATAGCTGTCTGTCAGAATGCAGCTTCCCACTACCGTTGGTTCACTAAGTTGTGCTTAAAACTCAAATTCAGAAAGAAAGAAACATTTTTGGGGGAAATTTGTTGCCAAAATACTTGGATTAAAAAAAAATTCACCTCAAACGGATAACTGAGGGCAAAGTTATGGCCGTTCGAAGTTTGGCCACTTTTTTGTGATTGTCTACTACTTTACCAAGCATCTCAGAACAAGAAGCGGAGCCTGGCGTTGCCCAAACTGCCTACATGAGAGTCGCTCACATACTCTGCCTGCCAACGGCCAATGCCCAGCCTCCAGCCTCCAGCCTCCAGCCTGCCTATGCCAATCCTGGCGTTGTTGAAGCCAGCACACAATGAGCATCGCCTAACCTGGCGCCCAGTGCTTGCAAGGCATAACCCAGCCTGGCGCCTGTTCTTGTTGGCGCTGCCTGGCTCGCTCTTGTTCCAGCCCACTCCAATAGCAGCAGCTTCAACGCCATAAGTGCTGCCCATGTGCCTAGTGGCGCCGCTGTCCAGGTCTGCTACAGTAATGTTGATGGCGTCGCCATCCTCTTTGTCCATGAACCCAACTGGTAGGACAAAAGCACCTCCCCTTTCTCGGCGCCGCCAGAAGGGATTGCCCAATGGTTCTCGTTGCTGAGGAAGGGTCAGTCAAGGCGTCACCCTTGCTTGGGCAGCTTTGACATCCTCCGCCACAATAGCATCACCACAGGCCACCTGATAGAGGGCGTCGCCTAGCGCCTGGGCCGACGCGCTGAAGATACCAAACTGCCGAGTCTCCTTGCCTGCTCCAACGATGCTATCTACTCCTACTCTACCTTGGGTCACTCCTTTCGTCTTCATTAAAGGATGTTTTCTTGGAGCACTGTCAATTGAAGCCCTTTTCTCCAAATTTTTCCTCCTCTCCATTGAAAACTTCAAAATCACAAAGGAGTTTAGCTAAAGAAAGGAATAGAGGGGTGGAGTCTAGATGGTTTTAAAACATTAGCTCCTTGAAACCCTTAAGAATATGCCCTACAAGAAGAGAAAAAGGGCCTTTTAAGTACGGAAGATTGAAAATTCCCTCTATCTGAACAATAACCATGAACCAGTGAAGCAATAAGGTAAATGAGCTTCAATGACCGAAAGGATAGAAGACCAAAGGAGTACCATGGGGAAGAGAAAACCTCTTATTTGTCCAAGCTCACTCATGCCCTCAAACCTTTCTTTCTTTTGTAATAAAGGCTTGGGGCATGGGGGCAAATGACGAGCCCAAATCTAGCTGGGCTTAGCCCAATAAACCAAGTAAGCCTGCATTAGCTAAAAGCAAGTCAAGTTCTATTAATCAATTCGCCCAGCCGAAGGTTCAAGGAGTCCATGAAGAAAGAGCACATGGGGGATACACACCCTTAGAGATCAAGGCTATCTTAATTGTACTTACCTTTTGTAGTTATCCTCCCGAGAAACTAGTGCCTTTACTCTGACGTCACCGTCTCAACAAAGGTTCAATGCCTATAAATTGTAAGTCCTCTTAACATGAGAGGATACATTGAGCTCCACCTCTATACCTCTCTATAGCCACATAGTTTTTCTCCTAGCTATTGTACCTTTCTTGGAGCACACCTCTCCTGGAGCTTTCTCTTGTTTGCCTTACTTAATCAATAAAGACCCCCTGACCACCGTTGCCGTTTTTCATAGTGGAGTAGGTCACCTGGACCGAATCACTATATATTTGTGTGTTGACTCAATATTTACATTATTGCCATTGATTGTATTATTTATTGTCCATTAGTCACATTTTATTACATACTCGACTGATGATCTTACATGAGACTATTTTGTGCATCATCAAAATTTATTGGTTTGTAAGGTGTTACTCGTTTTGTATGACACTTCGGAGATGTTAATTTGATTGATTTCTTTGGCATTTATTGGTATTTTTAATCTGGATTTTGGGTTGGTTATGGGAAAATGTTGGAAAAAGCGGAGAATAATATTGAAATGAAAGAAGAGGAAGGGAGAGAGCGAGAAGCTCTCCCTTGGGTTAGATGTCCATATTTTTCCTTCCCTCCACTCTATGCGGCCCAACCTACCCATAAAAACTGTCTTTTTCACTGGATCTCACATTGGATCATCTAAATTTGAGTCCCCTTGCACACATCAGGGTGCGCACCTCTTTGGTACCTCTTATGAGAGAGAACGAAGGGGATTTCTTTTTGGTTTTCATCCTATGCATGTGCACATTTTTAGCTCATGGTTTTGTTAGCCGCCACTATTGCTCGGGGAGTTTAAAGATATAGGGAAATGAGAGGGAGTTTTTTCAGCAATTAGTTGGAGCAAGGAAATTTATGCCAGTGTTTTCTTGGGACAAACAGAACAATTTTCCTTGGTTTTCATGTTTGGTCTTGATACTGGCTTGGTTTTGCGTCATTTGTGATGAAAAAATTCAGCGAACTGCTTAATCAAATATTCCTTAATTACCCCGCAACCATCATTGGAAAACAACCAATGTAAGGCCATCTGACCTCAGGAATTTTGTTCTAAAACACTTAGAAATAGCAAACCTAACTTCAATATACTAAAAAGATCTTTCCAACCAACTTGTTTTACAACCATCAATGCCACACTATTTTAAACCGACAAATCTTGGGTTATTATTATACTTAGATGGATATAAATTTATGAAAGAAAATAATTAAAGGGAGGTCCAGTGCATGAGGCTTCTTCTACTGAGGTTTTGGAGATGGTCTCATGTATGCAACCTTACTCTCAATCATATCCTCATCTTCAATCACTACATTGTTATCATTCTCTGACTCATTTATGATTTTATTTTTGCTTCTACAATTGTAACCGAACATATTTTGAATTATTATTCTCATCCTTCGTGAAATTTCCTCTTTCCAAAATCCTCTCTTTTTTCGTAAAATTTCTTCCAATCCATTTTCTTCTTCCCTCTGATTTGACTCAATTCTTGTCAAAGTTAAAGCTCTCATAATTTTCACATCACAAAAATAATCATTGTTTTAATCCTTCAAGTCAAACTTTACAATTTCTAACTTCTTCCAAAATTTAAGACCCTCCTAACCTTGAAAATTAAGTTCCTTCCACTGATCCTTACAAGCATTCCTGAAAGTATGAGGGTTTGCCACATATTTCAAACATGAAAGGAACCAACTCTCATTTAAAGGAAAAAGTCTCTAACACTTGGATAATGATCCGAAATCACCCCTGGAAAAACCTCATGCATAAAACACTCATTACCAATCAGTTGAAAAAGAAACTTAGGATATTGCATGCAACTTCTTTCCCAACATATGCCTAAGTGAAAGCACCATTAACCAAAGTTGAATCCTTGAAATCAAATTCCCTAATAAACGCATCGAAATCTCTCATACATCTTGTCGCTTTACCTTTTTCAACTTCCCAGATGTGTCCTAATCACTTTGAAATCACCGCCTAGACACCACCTAAGGCTACATAACCCAAAAGGCCTTACTTATTCTTCCCACAACTTTCCCAACCTTAGACGATTTTGTTAATACACCTCGGCTAAGCTTAACAACACCTACGTTTGGTCTAATTTTGACCGAATGTTGTTCTCTCTCTATCGATTGCTCTACAGACATAACACTCTAAAGGGCATATCTAGTACACGAGGCTCCCGCCATTACGGGGTCTGGAGAGAGTTAGATGTACAGACTTACCCTGCATGCAGAGAGGCTGTTTTCGTAGACATAACATTCTCATTCTATATAATTGAGATTCCACCGATATACCCGTAAATGTCAAAGAAATTCAATTCCCTAGCCTTGAGCCCCCTACCCTCTTTGCAATGCTACTATCTACAAGTATCAACTAAGTTTCTTACAAAATCATAATATTTGGATTTGCCTCCAAAAACAAATTCTCTTATTAGCACTCTCTCATTTCTCAACCGCAACAACCTAACGTTGGGACTAACAATGTTCATGCTATACCATTGTTGCCCTCTCCTCACATCCATACTTTACTTTGGCACTTGTCAACAAACAAGAATGATTGGTGGACAAAAGCTCACTAATGTCACATACCTTACGATTTGAATGAAAAGAAGACCCATCAATCTTTCCATTCTTTCTGGCTGTTTCATTCTTGTATTTGTTATTGTCATTCCCGAACAATAATTCAACATCACAATTTAGCTATAAGCGGTTATTGTATTGAAAACTAAGTTCCCATCCCCACTATCGTCAGAGCCAAGCATTGAATCTTTGCACCCTTTGGCAACCTGATTCTGCATAAACTAGCCTTCATCAACACTTCTGAAGCTCGTGTTAATTGATGATCGCCCACCGAATGGGACTTATCATCGAAATCTTCCTTATACCTTCTAGATTGACTAGCATCACCAAAAATACCTATTTGGGGCCTCACAGTTGGCAGCATTGTTAACTTTGTCTAATCTCAAACAACTAAGGAAGGCGATGTTAATTTCTTCCGACAACCTTCTTCACCTATCTTTTACTCTTTAATTTGGATTTGGGCGGGACCCCAATACAAAGATAGACGGCCCACTGATCTTAAAACATCTCTTATCTTTAGCCTTAAAAGGACAAAGATGTCTTGGACCTTTGAATCAAAAAGCCTACTACCAAAACAAGTAGACTAGGGCTCTTTTTTGGCCCAACATTACTAAGGCATTTAGATTTACCGTTTTGAAGTTTATTTGAAGTGGGCTTGAAGTGATAGCCAAGCCCATCCTGCCATAAACCACTACCGAAGGCCCACTTTAAACAGGCATCTCCCTGTCCATTAAACCCTTAATTGCCCTTAGTTTCCTTCCTATTAACCCTACCATGATTATTCCCACCCCTAGCTACCTTAATCTCGGTGTTCTACTTCAATTATCCATTGGAGCCTCACTATATTTCCTAATACTCGGCCCATTTCCTTATTGGCAAACCACAACTTTAATTGCCTATGCATTAGGCTGTTGCTTGCAATTAACACCCAACTCACGTCTCCACACCACTCCTTAGTCTACACCGTCCCTTCCATTCCTCTCCCTAATATTGTTGCTATTTGCCCCCTTAGAAACTCATAGGTTGTCTACAACCTCTCTCTCAGTTTATAGTGCTTTTGTGCTACCTATATTCTGGAATCACCTATGCGGCCATGCCCATTTTTGCTGGACTAAAAACCATCAAAAGGTTCTACTCTAATTCCAACCACATCATACTAACCTTAACCGCGGTTCCAACTTTGAGGGAATTAGTAAAATTCATGGTTTCTTTCATCAATATCAGTCAATCCACCATAATTTTCATTTGTCACCAATGTTAAGGAAGACCTTCTCTTTCAACAACTGGAAAGACAAGCCTTCTATCGCAATTGGAAATAACCAATTTATCACATACGTAATTAACCATAGCCACTAGGTCTCGAATTCTGCATCTTAATGCCAGTCTGCCCATCAAGAAGACAAATTCTGGTGCTTCCTACTCTACTAGCATCCCGGCGATCATTGTAGAGGATGAGCCTTATTAATCTAAAAAATAATCCATTGAAAATACTAGTGAATGCCGGACACACAACATTTGAATTTGAATTGCTCTATCTACTATCTTCTCTCTCACATATATGGCTTTTAACTCTCATTTCTGTAACTTGAATCAATCTTAGATAGAGTAGTTAAATCTACAACATTTCCCTCCATGGTATCTGAACATTCCTTGCTAACCAAATCTTTCCTTGTTTTTCTCCAAAAATCTTATCGTTGATAATCTCTGGTTCTCCTCTACACCCTTGATTATCAGTTGCCTTGAGAAATAATGCAAACTTGTCTGATTCCACTCATAAGTATCTTGGAGATTGAGACAAACGTGCTGCTATGATTTGAAGGTTGCTCACTCAAATGCAGGTTGTCCCGAATTAATATAATTTCTTGAGATTTTGAGGTTGAACCACAAGCAATGGTAGAACTTGGAATACAAATAAATAAAAAAATTAGTTCAAAGAGTTGGTTGAAATTGGTTGTAGAATAACAATGCAAATACTAGGTTTGAAAAGAATAGTGAAAAACACTCAAGCGTCCAGATCCACTTTTAGGAAGCATATAATATCTATTCTCATCCAATTAATATCTCAATATAGAATCAACTAACAAGTGATTCTAATTGAAAGATAGAGCGGAGATTATGTGGAAAATAATATCAACAATTGCACTTGATAAATTAACGCATATTGAATTCCTAGCATTTATCGTTCGCAGAGTTAAGAATAAGTTAAGGGCTTCAACAAGCGAAATCTTTTCTAAACATGATAAACAATCAATTATTTATCATAAATTTTGTAATTGATTGATCAAAATATGCAAGACTAGTTATGTTATTCACAAGCATTTGATGGGTTTAGGAGTGACATCGAATCAAAGAATTATACAAAAATAAAACCTTACTCAAGTGTAAGAAACAATCAATAAGAATGATTTATGCCTTGAAGAATATGAAATGATCAAAGACATATATCATAACTTATTAGAAGTTTCACCCCTAATTTTAGTTCGAAGCTTAGCAATCCATGACAATGGAAAAAACTTTTAAGAAGGATAATGAGTAGATAAAGGGTATTAAATTTTGTGCTTACATCTCCCCGATATATTCTCAAACCCAAAAGATTTCAAAAGGAAAGAATCTCAGGAGAGCAACATCTCCTAAATCATGTCCTTCCAATGTCGCCAACTTCGAGCCTAGTTTGACCTAGTAAACATTTGGTTCACAAAAATTCCATAAAAAAATATTATTTATAGATAATTTACAGAAAATTGCCTTAATTTGAGTCGGAGGATAAAATTATTACGTAAATACAGCAACAATATCAAAACCTATCCTTCTAAAGTTTTTTCCAAATCTATTTTTGAATGCTTCTGGTACTAATTTGAGCTCCCACATGGTCTTAATTGCTGATTTCTTTTCAAATCTTATTAATTTAATCTTGACCCTTCAATGCAGTTGGATTCTTGATGAATTGGTTGGGTTTGAATATTGTACAAAATCAAATACTGTAATAAGTGTCCGTTTTCACCAAATAAACCATGAAAACTTACTAATCACATTTGTGAGAGGAAACATATAAATCCATATAAAATATGCAATTAGTATCTGCAAAAGTGCATTAACACTTATTTAAGCCAATAGAATATTACAACTTCCAAGCATTATCACTTTCAATTCTTGCTAGAAAAATATTTAGTCTATACATCGAAAGAAGACCCTATTTTTTTCGCTGAAAGAGTTCCCTTCCATCCTTCGATTCCCCGCATCAAGCACATTCTCCAAACAAGGTCTTGTTCTCCCATGTGTGAAGTTGGATTAGAGTCTCAAGATGGATAGGGATCTAGGGTTGTTTAAGGATTTCTTAAGGTATGACAGTTTGAATTTTGGCTTTCAATAGAGATAACCTATATCTAAAAGGGTTTTTCCTATTTATAAGCTCGGAATTAGGTCAAGCTTGGAGGCCAAGTAAACCAAAATTTGTGAACGACCATTCACACAGTGGGAGAACGATGAGAGGACAAATGTCACTAGAATGAGATTTTGGTTCCAACTAGTTTGACAGGATATCGACTGCTCAAGTGGCCTCGAGCGACCTAGAGGGCAGTTTCCATTGCCCAACTCGACCTTACTTTGGCAAGACTGACATGCCTAATAAAAGAAAATCATAAAACTTGAGATCATTTTCTTTTTGTAGTCTTAAGTGCTCCTCCATTCGAGGCAAATATCATTCTCACTTTTGTTGAAGCTTTAAATCTTGGACAAGATTCCTATAACTCTTTACCTCCAATAACCAATAGAAAAACCCACGGTTTAGGCCTCTTGTTTTGTCCATTGAGAGCAAAGTGTGGGATACTTAGTTATAATCATTGCACGCTCTCTCTCTCTCTCAACTTTGAAAATCGTATACTTTTGATTGTTCATGATTTGGTTCAAATTTAGCCACTCAAATTAAGGTAAATATGTCATTTCTCATGTAAAAACTTCCATTTACGTGTCCTATTTGAAATGTTAATGAATTGTCATATTATTTTGCAAATATTAGGAGGTCTCTTTGATTTGTAGCCTCTCGTTCATGATCATTTCAAAGTGACTTAGCATGCATTGCCTAAAATTAATTTCTAATTGTTGGAGCGAGTGATTTCAAAAGTGATCAATGTTAACTCTACGAATTAGTAGAATTACTAGGGGTGCAACTTGGGCGGATTAACTCGATTTCAACCCAAAAAAATTAGGGTTTGGGCTAGGGTTTTTAATACTTGGGTTGGGCTTGAGTCAAAAAACATCAACCTGAATTCAATTTGGGCGGGTCTCGAGTTGAGCCATCGGGTTCACGGGTTGAACTTGAATATTAAACTCGGACTTAACCCGATTTAATAATCGGGTTCATATCGAATTAATAATCGGGTTCAACTTGAATTAATTTTATATAAATACAATTTTATACTAGGGTTAATCTCAACTCAAGTCTACGCCTCCCTTAGACCCTCACTCACTCTCAGTCTCTCTCGGTCTCTCAATCTCTCACTCTCACAGTCTCACTTTCAGATCAGACCTATCTCTCACTCTCAATCTCTCTCGGTCTTTCAGATTCTCACTCTCACTCTCATATCAGCCCTCTCAGCCTCCTTCGTCTTCGCCTCTCTCTCTCAGAGCAGATCAAAACATCTACTCTCTCAGAGCATATCAAAGCAGCCTCCTTCGTCTTCATCAGGTACGATTTTCATTTTTATGTTAAAAACTTGATTGAAGTTGCTGATTGTTAAATTATTTGAATATTATGTAATATGTATCAGGTTTCGTTGTTTTGCTTCTATATGTATCAGGTTTAAAACATTAACCCGAAATCAGCCAGTAAAGTAACCCGAATCATTAACCCGAATTCAACCCAAGTCCCCTGAATTACACTCGGGCAGTGCTTGGGTTGAGTCCATCAACCCGAGGTAGGGTTAAGGTTAGGGTTGAAGATTATATACTTAGAGTTGGGCTAGGGTTGACTGTCCAACCCGCCCAATCTGCCCGAGTTGCATCCCTACGAATTACGGACTATATCGATTATTCATGTATGTAGACTTAGTCAACATTCTTCCTGTAAAATTATGCTTATTCTAATGGTTGTAAGAAATGGAAGGTTGCTACACCAAAGTATATACAATTTTGATTGTTTGTATAAATTTGGCTGTTAATTTTGGTGTTGGCAAGAACCATAAAAGTTACTACATTCTTAACTATATATGTAAAGAGTGGTATTGCATTGTAATTGGATTGAGAAGCCTGGAGCCCTTTTTTTCATCATTAAGTTAGTAAGGTTGGAGATGCTGTAGTTCTTACAGTCAGAGTATGTTTGCTCTTGTGGAGGTGTGTCTCTTGCATATTTTGTGATAGAATGCTTTCAGTAAAATTGAAAGGAAAACTTTATAGGATAGATAAGTATCAGGCCATACTTCACGAAGTAGAATGTTGGGTACCTAAGAAACATTACATTCATAAAATAAGTAGTTGTGATAAGGATATTGAGATGCATGTGTGGTAAGATAGATTTGATATCGTTGTGGGCATCCGTTTCTAAGGATTTTGATGGTGTTCCGCTCTTTTGCATGTTGGGGGATTGGAAGTTCTCATGTGTCCCTTAGATATTATGATTGTTTTTGTTGTCTTGTTTTTTTTCATCCATTTCATGGTGAGACATCTTGTCAATTCTATATGGCCGCTATTGGAAATGCTATGGGAAGGGGAAGCCTGAAATTGACATGGAAGGAAGCAGTAAAGAAGGATACAGATGTTTGTAATTTAATTGATGCCCGATGGAGCCGAATGGTGAAAAACGAGTCATTTAGGTGACCCCAAAAAAACGAGATGGGGCTTTATTTGGTTTGATTTTGGCACTTAAGGAGGTAGTTTTAATAGAAAATTTTCAGAACTTGAAAAATGATACACTAATCGTCCTTCATTGCTACCCGTGAACTAAGTTATGCAATCAAAAATTTCTGATTTAGCCCTACTTCTCAAAATAGGATTTCTATGTCTGAATGATAGACACATTTATTATTTGGCATCTCCCTCATCTAAATGGAAAATATTTTTGGTTTTTAATTGTTCATTATTCATTACTAGAGTGCTTCAACCTTTGATAATGTTGAAGAGTGGAAATGGAAATTAACCATGCTTATGCGCAATAAAAATGAACAAGAAGTGGTGTCAAGGGAAAGGAAAGATAGACGTGATTTTGAGCAACTTTCTGCACTGGCAACCAGAATGGGCTTACACAGGTATGCTAAAATTTTTTTGACTTGGGTATTTATCTTCTCTGGTGATTGTTGCAATTTTGAAGTGTGCCTTTGTTTTGCAGTCGTCAATATGCAAAGGTAGTTGTGATTAGTAAAGACCCCTTGCCAAATTATCGATCAGATCTGGATGATAAACGCCCACAGAGGGAGGTAATTTTTTTTGCTTGTATGAACTCTCTCCCTGTGACCTGCTTTTTGTGCTTTTATTTAGGTTTGTGTGGAAAAAATAATTGAATTGCTTCTTATAAAGACCTTATGGAGTAATTTTAAAAAATGCATTTAGGAAATTCAAACACGGTGCCTGTCATTGCTATTAAAAGGAGTTGACATCTGTGGCTACTTTTTAAAAGATTTAATTTCTTCAACTCTATATTTCTTTATAGTGAGTTCCTCTCGTGATTTTCATAAGTTCTTGACAATTGTAGGTGTTATTGCCTTTCGGATTGCAAAATCAAGTAGATGCTTATCTCAAAGCACACCTTTCTAGAAAATCAATGAACAAGGAAAGGTTTCCAAGATCAAGCAGTTGCAGCAATCTTACTACTGATGGAGGACTTCATGAGCAAAAGGAGCCATTGACACCTAGAAGTGTTGTAGCTGAGGGAATTCTTCGGCGGAAGAGCTTGCAGCTGCATAATAAACAAGAAGATTGGCAGGTCTGTCTAACCGTGAAAAATATAGGGGACTATGCCCTTTTGCTATTGATAAACTTGACAGACTGTGCATTTTCTTGTCCTAATGAAAGCTTTTGCTCTCTATCTGGTGTGTTTCTTGGAAAAATTTAGACCGCATTTGCTGTGTAGATAGTGATTTGCTCAATGTCATTTTATTTTTCTAAATTTTAGGCATTCAACTCTCTAGGAAAATTATGATATATTTGAAAAAATAACCCTGAGCTATTTCTAACATTAATTTTGTGGTTGTTGGTCATCCCAGAGTCCCTTGATCCCATATCCCAAGCTTTGAGCTCCTAACGTTTTCCACTTTGAGTTTCTTAGGGCATACCGCATATTGTCAGACCAACATAGCATTGGTCAATTAGTTGTAGATGTAGTTGAAGCGGGGATAAGATATCGATGGAGCTCTACTCTATCTATTCTTGATAGTTACCAATTTTTTTTTTTTTTGGGGGTGGGGGGGGCACTTGTTATTGAATATGAAAATTACATTTTTTCTTTCCTTTGTTTGGCTTGCTGTTGTTTTGTGTCCATAATAGGAAACGCCCATGTGAGGATTAGGAAACTTCACGAAAAGCACAATTACGCGATTCATAAAATCAACTGTATTGAATCAGTGGGATTACGCATATATTGTGTCCATAATAGGAAAACCAACACAAAGGCTGGGAAACATCATGAAAAACACAATTACAATTCTCATAAGTTCAGGTCTAATGATTCAGTGGGATTATGACAGCTACACCATTTGTTGGATTAGTTAGTTATTTCTTTCACTTGTATAGTATCTGGAGAAATGATGGGAAGGTGGTTTGTAAGAACCTTGTGTTTGCCTGGTAGGTTTTGGCCATTCATTGGCAAACCTTGTCACTTGTTGGGTCATGGTCATGGAAAATAGATTTAAATATGATGGCTGAGGTTTAGTGCTGGATCATTTAAATACCCTCTGGGCCTCCTTGGGACCATCATTGTTGTGCATCTTTACATCCTCATTGCTCTTGAGTAAATTAAAAGATTCTGAATGAAATTTTCAGAGAGTACTTGGTGCGAGGATATCAGTGAATGCCTATTACCCTTTAACATGTAGACACCAATTCATCTTCGCTACTAAGAGATGCCCCAACCTACAGACCTAATTATCTAAATGAATTGCAGCTGATGGTATTTGTCACATATCTCGATTACTTGTTAAAATGATGTGATGTCTTGCCTTCTTTTATTTCCATTCATTCATAAACTTAAATGACTTAGTCCAAGAGATTTTTACTACATGTGCTTCTTAAATGCGTACCACTAGCATGTTTGCTCTTGTGGAGTTTGAACCCTTACTTGCTCAATCATATCAGTAAATGGATTCATGATATTCATGCATGTTGACTCTGAATATAGTTATATTAGAAGGACATTAGCGGAGGTTTTATGTTTACTGAGAAAAAGTGGTTCGCGAGGTTGTTTACTAATCTCTTTATTGTCAAAGTTTTCTATTAAATCATCCCAATATGCTTCCTTTCATGAATCTACTCGAATATTTGCAATTTAGGACATGCAAATGATATTTTGACTACCTTTCTGTTTCCCCCCCTAGGAATCTTCAGAAGGCCAAAAGATGCAAGAATTTCGGAGAAGCCTCCCAGCATACAAAGAGAGAGATGCATTGTTGGATGTCATTTCACAAAATCAGGTAAAACAAAATGCATCAAATAGATTAGAATGAGAAAGGACTAAGGATCATATAATATTCTATTGGGATTTGGAAGTGTTTGGAGATGAAAGCATGTTTACCGCAGAGATTGTGGTGAGAACGTTGACCATCTCTTTCTTTAAAGCAAACTGCGACCCAATACAACATGAAAATTTTGTACCCGTGAGATGTACCAAATCGGCCCATGGCCCATAAGCATTGATCCATTCTTTGGAATACTGTGATTATGGTTATTTTGGGGGTAGTTTGGAAGGAAAGAAATAATAGAATTTTTGATGGAAGACTTGAATCAAGGAATTTCTTTGGCCAAGGTTTAAGTTCTTGGCCATTATGGGTATCAGTTCCTAAAGAGTTTAAAGAACTTCCTGTCTTTTTTATCCTTCAAAGTTGGTTTATGGCTTGTGGATAGGATGAATTGTGTTTGGATTAGTGCAAATTGCTGGTTTCAACCTTTCGTAATTATGATAGGATTCTTTATAAAACATCTTTGCACTTTTTATATCATTAATAGAAGTGTTGTCTCTTATAAAAGAAATGAAAGCTCCTCACTTATGCCAGAAAAAGAAAAATAAGATTAACATTTTTTTTTATCTAAGTGTTGAAAATGTGGTGTGTACATATGCAAAACAAGAATCACTCAAAGTTGTACCAATTGTTGCAATTTGACAATATCATATTATGGTGAACTTCGAAAGAGTGGTTGAGGCACAGCACATAAAACAAATTTCATTCCAAAATCATGATTGAAAGGTTAATAGTGGAAGCTATCTTCATGTTGAGGCCACCAACAGAAAGGTTTGGCAGGAAGGATACAGTTTCTTTGTAGGGTTACTTCTGATTGAATTAGAGATCGGCTATGATAGGTCCTTAGATCGTGGGTTTAAGAGGTAGCATTGAGTGCCAAGTTGATATATTGGCATTACAAATTTACAATTGATGTATTTCGTAGCTGTGATGATTGCAAGTACTATCGTAGTACATACAAGTAAATCCCAGTTAGTGGTGTGGTGGATTTGCATGAACAGAATGGGGCCTTTATGAACTTATCTTTCTGAGGCAATAATTGAGTAGAACATCTCGGTCGAGATTCCTTGTAATATGCCAATCGCTAATGATATTTCTCCAATTTTTTAAAGTAAGCTATAATGAATGTTTGAAATGCTCAAGCCAATAAAATTTATAAACGCAGAAGTGTTTTGGGATTATGGTTGTGGAACTAGGGCCGAATGGATTAATAAAGAAGTGTTTTGGGAGTATTGTCTAACCGATTTTGACTATAAAATTGAAAGGAAAAATTATTGAATAACTATGGGCAAAGGGATATTGTAAAGAAGAAAAATAGCTTAAACAACTGGGAAACCCAATGGTCTTGAAAAAACAGTGTCTAAAATGTGGATATTGAGATACATGTGTAGCATGAAAAGGAAGGATAAAATTAAAGATGTAAACATTTACGACTGTAGAAGTGGCATTATTCAGAGATAAAATGAGAGGAATGGACTGAGACGAATTTGCTATTTTTAACGAAGTCCAACAAATGCACAAGTTGACTATGGGGAAGGGGGAAACAAAAAAATAGGATGAGTTGCGTGGTAGGGAGGAAAACATGGTGGCAGGTGGTGTACATGATTTTATGATGTTTGATGCAAATAGAATGGCGAAGTAGGATTTTTGGAGCTAAAATGGGGCCAGAAAGTTTAATCCATATGTGGATTTTTTGGTCCC